TTGTGCCTCTGTCAGCTATGATCCGTAACCACACAGTGAGTGACAGGCCAGTCTCCAGGGAAAGCAGAGGTCTGAGGTGAGTCAGATGTATCCTTGACCCTGTCTGGCTGTGTGTCAGCAAGCAACAGAAACTCAGTAAAATAGCTCAGGACTGGCATGACTGTACAATGTACATCTTTATTTAAGACATGTAAGAATTGATTCTTTCAGTGCAATCTGCTCATGAGGTGTGGTTTTGTTGCTAAGGTGTTCTGAACTTAAAAAAATTATATTGCAGCTCACAACATCACAAACGGATACATTTGATACCTTTTTGTCCACGTGCGTTCCTCGCGGATGCTTTAACGCCCGGTTCAAGTTTTGAACTTTTGAAAAGAAACAAGAACCGTTGTGCATCTGTGCTGTTTTAAAAGAAGGATGTTCAAATCTGTACATATTTCATACATACTTTGTACATGTTTCTTCCTCATGAGGGAGTTTTTCCTTTCCACTGTCGCCTTCGTGCTTGCTCAAGATGAGAGTTCTGCGATGGAGTTAAATTCAAAGCAGTCTGCTCCTCAGATAAATAGTGTTAACTTATTAATTTTTATATATGAATGTTTCTGTTCAGTGCCCTGAGATGACTTCTGTTGTGACTTGGGGCTATATGAATTGAATAAGTTGCCACCAGAGCCTTCAATATTGTTCTTTAACTTGTAAACTGAAGCAAACTACATAAAAAAAGCAGTTTTCAACAGTAATTTACACACAGCTTTATGCTTTACAATCTACAAGTGTGGGCTAACATCTAAAACTATTCTGATTAGAAAAAAAAGTATTTAAAAATGTAAAGAATGCCTGTTTGTTATCTGAATCAAAGCAATCTGAACTTGTATTCAACTATAACAGCCTTAGTTTTATAAAACTGTTTTAATAGCTACAGATATGTTGCTGTTGTATAAAAAACTTGACACTTTTTGGTTATTTTTTAGACTCAGTTCGTCAAAACAGTTCTCTATTTTTTTATTTATGAGTTGAACAATCAATTGGCTTATAGTAAATTACATTTATTTCAACATATTTGCTGCTGCAAGCAGGTTTTTACTTGAATGGGCATTTTGCAAAGTAATATTTATAATTTTTTATGCTGTAAATGCAAAAAAAAAAACCATCACACTCAAATCAAGGCATCATGTGATTTTGTTTTCAGGAATCCCAAATTGTTTGTTATAACCCTGTTAACATATTTTCTCACTATCTGAACTTACTTCTATTGCTTGAAATAAATGCTGCAAAGCACATTGAATTTTGATGATTTATATGCTAACGGTCAGATATTGTTCCTTTGCAACAAGGAAATCTTTTTATGATGCCTCTACAATAATTCAAAGCAGAAAGTTGAATGCACCAATTCCTGTTGCTGAGCAGAAAACTTCCCTCAAGGAGTCAAATGTGGGATCCATTTAGCAGAAAACCGGTGCATGGACACCCTGTTTTTAAAGTGAACAAAAGGAATTTGTGCCTAAAAGTCCTGCTTTTATTTTTTTTTCAAGGGTCACTCAAACACGATGTGTGAAATGAGAGTTGCCTGGGTGTGACTTTACCAGAATGCTTCCACTTGCCATTGTCTGCCCAGTCAACTTCTACAGGCCCCAGCGCCCTGACTTCCATACATGAGAGATCAAGGGTTACCAAGGTGCTTTTGAGAAAGGAGGGCTCAATGTGAGAGGGGACAAACCGGTCCACAAAATACTCATTTCCTTTGCATGTTAGAAGCCCTAGTGGGGATTCAGTTGGGGTCACTGACATAACCGTAGTTCTTTTCCACCCTCCCATCGTTTTTTCATAATGAAAACTGTTGCTTGCCTTTTTAGTGGCTTGGAACTCCTATCTGCTGCCCGTACAGTATGTGGCTCAATAATACACTGAGTAAAGTTAGGTCGTTCATCCAGCGTTGCCAGATAGAGCCACGTCAAGTAAAACAGGTAAAAGTAGTTCTGTCCACCTCTCATTCTTGCCAAAAAAGTTCAGCCACTGAACCACGGCATTAACTTGTATTCTAACAAGATTAAAATATATTCGTCCTGGGGATTAGCATAGTTAGGTGTCCCTTTGCCTCCTTTTTTTTTTTTTTTTATCCAGCACTAGTGCGTTGACGTTGTGCTTTGATCTGTGTTGCAAGGCAAGAGTCCTGGCTTGGACCTAGCCATTCGAGTGCCAAGTGTGAAATTGGCCTGATGTCATCCCCATTCTTCACCTTTTACATCTTTCACCACTTTAATTATGTTTCCGCCACAAAGCCCAGGCACCTCTGAGCAGATTCCACTCTGGCCGTAGGAAACATTTTAGAAACTGTGGGTAAATGACACAGTAGGGGAGAGGGAGGAGGATGGCAGGAGAGGTCATAGCAGGATGGGGCCCCTTTGTGCCCAGAGATATACATTGATACTTCCCTGAATTAGCCTTCTTTAAGAAAAAACAACTTTTACTTAAAGCACTTTTGAAATTTAGCGATCCAGAGGGTTTTATTTCTATTTACCAATGACTTATTTTGCCAGGCTTTCACAGAAGCGTGACTTTTCGGTTGCGTGCCACAGTTATAGAAAGAAAGAGGTCATCAGGACCTGAATCCCACTTTTATAAAGGAGACAAACGACTCTCAGCTTTATTTTCCCAGCAGAATGTGCTCATGTGGCGTAACAGCTTTAGCTTCATGCTTTGGTGTCCCTATCTGAACTCCAGGCGGCTCCTCTTCTTTCCTGTGAATATTTTGATGAAGCTTCCTATTGATGCGCTGAATGAAGGATCAAAACAAGTGTGTGTGTGCAGAATCAAATAAAATGCAGTGATATTAATGTGTGTGTAAAGCGGACAGAGAGTGAGAAAGCCGTGTGTGGAGAATGGGTTACTAAGGGGTGGGAGGTGGGGGGAACCAGCCACCTGCAGCCATGACGGGCTTTGACCTTCATTGCTCTCTCTCTCTCTCTTTTCCCCTCCCTCTTCTCCATCCCCCTCCTCATCTTTTTTTTTTGCCTCCCCCACCCCTTCCTGCTCCCATTTCTGCCTTGTGATAGAAGCTCTTTTCAGAGGTGGCGAAGAAGACTGACCGTCTTGAAGACAGTGCTGGCAGCAGCCCTATCTGCTCTAATGCCTATAGTCACTGACCGTTAGACATGGCGTTCAAAGACTAGTGGTGCAAGTATGGAAATGCAGATAAGGCATTGTTGAGGAAACATGCTGGGGAATTGTTCAAGGCTTCCACTTGCATCATGTTTGGACACTTTGTGCAAGTGTTTTAATTACATGCATCTGATCCTGCCCACATCTGATGGTGAATGTTTGCATGAAATAAATTGCTGTGCAATGCAAGTTATGGATGAAATTTGTGCATATTTATTGTATTTGTTTTCTAGACAGTTTTTATTTGTTTTATTTGTATTTATGAAAGCAACACGCAAAGATGAACCAGTTTGTGTATAATCTTCAAGGTTTATTTACTCTTCTTTTGCAGTTTTCAGGAGGAAGCTACAAATTATGTACATTTATACCAAAGAATACTTCCAACGTAAAATAAAAAATAGCATTGTATTCTACAACTCTGTGTCGTAATTTTCATTTAAACATGTTCATATATAGATAGATATACGCTGATGAGTAAATTCATAATGTCGTACCAGCAAGTTTTCATAAAGGCAATAAACTTGAGTAGTCTGCATTTGAAGTAATACTGCTTCTCTGATTCGGCACAGTTCTGTTTCAGAAGAAAAAAGTTCCCACTTGAACTTTTAAGGCAAAGTATGTTTTAGGTTTGGTGGATTATTATTTTTTTTTTTAATTCACACACACTTTTTGCAGATACACAACAAAAGAAAAAGAACACATTAAAAGGAAAAAAAAAGTAATACGGTCATAATTTGGTATGGATGCAGTCAGAAAAAACATAGCTCCATCATACTTTTGTCGATAAAGACCAAAGTTTATAAACACAGTTATTTGCCCAAGTACAACAAATTGCAGCGTTCATGCAAAAAAGGCCCCATAAACAATTTTCCATTTGCAAAAAAAAAATAAAAATGAAAAATGAAAACAAACAAACAAACAAAGAAAAAAAGAAGTTATTGCAAGATAAACAAGCAGTGTAAACACCTCAGATATCTACTCTAAAGCAACACTGGTCATTGGATAGATTTTTTTTTCTCAATAGAATCTATATAAATACACATATGAAGTCCTTTCAACAACAATAAGAGATTTGCAACATTTGTAATACAGTCACTGGCAGATTCATTTGAATGATATACGAATATGTAATAAAATGTATATAGAGAAAGTTCTGAACATCCAAGAAACCTGCATGAGGATGAGGAGTGCGCAGAAATGGTCGCCATCGTTATGCTACAGAGTTGTTTCTGATGTAAAAGGCAGCTTTTTAGCCTTCATTTAGCTACAAAAAAATTAATATTGCTATTAAAAACAATAATAGCTGCACCAATGCATTGGCAAATAAAGAGTTTACACATGTTTGTTTAAAGGCTATGAGAGAATTGTATGAATTCTTAGTTAAGGGTTTAAAATAAATCCTATGTCCACCTAAAACAAATTGTGTTTAAAAAAAACTGATACTGCCCAATTAGCTCTGCAGCTGATACACAACACCTTCATATGTTCAATACACCAAGAAAACCAGCAAGCATGGCAACAAAACTGTGTTAGCAATTATGTAAAGTCACAGTAGCCTGGATACAGCAGAAAAAAAAATATTCTTTGGACTTCAGATTTATGTTTTTTTTATTTTATTTCACTGACAAATCAAATGCCAGTTCAATGTAAAATGGTGACAATCATGATGTGTATAAAAATGAAAAAATTTGAGCATTTCTTCCTCCTGAAAGGGGGTGGGACCACAAAAAATTTTGACAAAAACTTTATACAACATCTTTTATAGACGTGATATTGCAGAAATATCTGTTGTTTTTTTAAAAACATTTTATGCTGGTATACGCTGGCCCTTTTTTCGGTCATATTATTGCATTGAAAGCTTGATTAAGCCTCCCATAAAACGAAAAAATCACTATAATATTCCATAGGAACCTACAGAAACCTATGGTAGTGTTAGAAATTGTGGTAGTTGTGACCTTATCGTTTCTGTGTGTTGGTTATGGTGTTGTGGAGCCATTGTACATCCATATAAGTGAGTTATAGTATCTGCTGTGGTAACATTAAATATTCCTGTAAGTAGAGTTTATTAATCTCAGTAAAAATCTATCATAGGATTACTATAGGTTCTTTTTCGTCATGGAGGCTGCTGTTTTTGTTGCTCAGGAACTCAGTCGCTGTCTGATTTTTCGTCCTTTGACGTGACGGTGGCGTGATTGTACAGTCCCTGCGCCATCAGGTGCAAGGCCAGGCCGTTTTTAGTGCCGCTGGCCTTCTTGATTTTGGCCCGCTTGTTCTGAAACCAGATCTTGATCTGGGACTCGTTCAGGCCCAGCTCCTGCGCCAGGTTCTGCCGCCTCTGCTCCGTCAGGTATCGATTTGTCTGGAACTCCGTTTTGAGTCTTTGGAGCTGCTCCGCTGTGAAGGCCGTCCGTGGTCGCTTGTCCTCTTTGCTGGTCGTTTTCTTCTTTGGTTTGCGAGATCTCGGCCCTGCTGATGCGGGGGGGAGACAGAAATATGCAATTGTTTGTTAACACAATCACTGGTGAGCTGAAAACTAAGAAAACCTTTGCTCAAAAAGAAATCCGAAGGCGGTAATTGTGAGTAAACCCCAAATAAAACTATTTTAAAAACTTAATTAAATACATATTTTTAAAAATTCTGTTTAAAAAAGGATTTAACCTTGACGTGAATAGCTACTACTATTTTCTAATTTGTATTCAGCTCAGTCACTTCCTTCAGATCTACTCCAAACACGTGCGTAAAGTGTGCTTTACGCAAAGAATCGCCTTTTCAAACTTATTACTATTGCACCAAAATACTTGTAAACAAATAGCTTTTTATATGTCCTTTCAGGTGCCTTTGCATTTATTTATTTAGGAGTGGGCTATACAGTATAGATTTAGGAAAAATCAGATCATGCAGAAAGTATATGTTTAAATAAAATAGGCATAAAAAAAGCAAATATGACTAAAATGTTTGCACTTCCTTTAGAAACAGCCCAAGAAGCTAAAGCACCTCCCTGTTGCTATCCTCCTTCCTCCTCTACACACATAGACATCCATCATATACACACACGCACACACATGCACATCAAAACACATCAAGTAATTATTATTTTTTTGGTCAAAAACATTGGGAAAGCATCGCTGACGCATCTCCGCTTTTATGCTGCAGTTTTGTTAAAAACCAGGATCAATTCTCGTGCAGCAAACAGTTTTTGTGGGCCACTTTAAAAAGCTCCTCAGTGAACAAACGTGCACAGAATTTGAGCAGCACTTTAGAGACACAATATGTTTTTTTTTTTCCCCCATCTGGAAGGAAGCCTGTTGGAGTGCACGGTCTCCTCCTCCAAACAGCGTGCTAAACATTAATGAAACAACACAAAACGGGTCCATGAATCAGCGTGCATGTTTTTCTTTTCAAGCAGCCCATGTGAAAACTGCAGCTCTGCTACTCGTAGTAGTCGCCCACGCCACTCTATATGGCGTTACATAATGCATGAGAACAAGTTGTACTCCACTTTCCGAGAGAGGCGAAGAAAAATTGGACTCACTAACTTTTTTTGCAACAAGATGAGCAACTTCAGGGACTTTTCTCACTAATAAAGTTAGTAGCTTTATAAAAGGTACCAACATAGGCTCATTGTTTAGCTTATCAGCAGATATGAAGACGTGCAGGTTTGTGTAGTAATCCAAAACAATATTATTGTAACGCAAAAAGCACCACGAGTGCACCAAAAACTATCCTGCACATCTCCAGGAAGGATGCACGCTCATGATTATTATATTTCACACCCTGCCTAGATTATTGTCTGCCTAAAACTAGATTACATTTCAGTTTTGCCAAATCGGATTGTTTCAGTGAGAAAAATTCTGTGCGTAATAGTTCCAAAAATGCGTAATTTTTAAAACTTTTTAAAAATACAATTTATTCAAGTTTTGTTCTTTAAAAGAGCAATATTTCTCCACTCTTGTTTACATTCTATAACGGGGCTCCTCCTACCAGAACGTGCTTTTAAATTTAATATTTATGGTATTTTTTTTCTTCTACATTGTAGTTTGCATAAATATTTCTTCATGCCATATACAGCTTCGAGGCGTAATTATTCATGTAATAATATTAAAAGTGATTTATAGTTTGCTCCCTGCGCTCTGCTCTGCAAGCGAGAAGTCGGTCAAGCCATCCGGGTCAGTGTTACGGGGTATTTCAGGTTACCGAGAATACGGGATGGGAGGAAAGCGCGTGGCACCAACCTGAAGAAGGCCTGTCCGAGTATCTGGTGCAGTAGACCCAGGCTGGCCACAGCATGGGCTGAGACATGGATGGGTTCGAGCTGGCTTGGGAACTGTCCGAGTCCGAGCTCAGGCACTGGTCTCCGTTCTCCCCGCGGGCTTTCAGGGGATCCTCGGCGGATTGTGCGGGCTTCTTCGCCCCAGTGACCGCGTGTGGAGTGGAGGTCCCCTCCGCCGGCACCGTGCTGCCCACCGGCTCGGTCAGAGGGGCGGCGGGGCTGTCGTGGCTCTCCCGCGACGCCAGGCTGCTGCTCTCCTCCCGGTTCCCCGCGCCCGCATCCTTTTTCCGCCCGAAGTCCGGCCGCAGGATGTTGTCGATGAAGAAATTGGTGACCCGGTGTGGGATCTGCTGGTTCCCCGGCGCCTGTAGGAGGGGAAGGATGGCTCTGTTGGACTCGTCCGCCGACTCCTGCCGCTCGTCTCTGTTGCCGTGCTCATTTTCTTCCATACTGATTCACTTGCGCCGCTTTTACGCTCTTTACGCTTTTATTGCTCCCACAGCAGCAGCAAAATTCGCGACGAGCTTTATAATACTGATGGAAAAAAACTGCTCGAGGAAAATAAATAAATAAAAAAAAACTCAAATACTAGTGAGTGCCTTGGACACCATGCAAAGCCTTGCGTTAGTGTCCTTTGAGAAAAGCATAATTTTTCACATACATTCCCTCAAACTCGGGCTACTACTGGACCTAACACCATTTGCCATTTGCGCACCGTCCAATTTAGAGCGCCATCCGCTTTGCGCGTCCTCGGTGCAGCCTAACACCTAAACTAAACTAAAGGGGGTAAATAAAGAGGCTCCTAAACTGATGCTCTAATACTCTCACTCTGGAGTTTTGTTCTTATTTTCAATGCGAGCACCCCCGAGTGACGTTCTCCCACAGACACGTGCCTCGCACCAATCGGACGGCAGAAACCAGGCCACGTGACGCACACTCCAAGAAGCAGGTCTACAAACGCCCATCCCTCGCTGTTAGTAAAAGAGAAAGAGTCCCGGAGTTAACGGAGAGGAAGCCTCATTTAAATCCAATGCATGCTCCCAGATACTCCCCATATTTCTTTGGCATCATTTTATTTATTTATTTTTTCTGTTTCAGGAGGAGGTTTGGTTTGAAAATATGCGCATCAGTTTGTGCGTAAAACAAAAGGGGGTTGAAGCATCGCTTGGCAAAGTGAGCTGCAAGGAGAACCCCGGGGGTCCCTTATAGTTGCAGGGCAAACATTCCCAATTATATTTGGAGGTGACACATTTTAATATGTTTTAATACATTAAAACATCATGGCCAGTTTGGAAAACGGCACATTAACAGCAAAAGATCTGTTTGCATGTAAACAAAGACCTGTTTGGGGTCAAAGATGTGAACATTTAGTAAAATATCACCTAAATAAATGTAGTTTAGTTATGTTTTTATGGCTAAAGATACCATTATTATTTACATGGCGCACACGATTCAACTATAAAACACTGGGGTAATTTATTTAAGATAAAATGAAAATAAAGTTGTATTCAGTTCGGTTTTGTGCGTAAAAACAGAATGTGTTCACTTTTGAACCAAGAGGTTACTATATATATATATATATATATATATATATATATATATATATATATATACTAAAATTGCCTGAAACGTGCCCTTTAAGTCGCAGCAAGAGCCCATTTGTGTTTGCTATAAATTTAATTTAACAATTGGTTTTTATTTTGTCTCATAGCAACCTAAATACATCATAGTTTTTTAAAAAAGATGGGCAAAACATGGCCAAATGCGTGCATGTTGAGTATTTCCATGCTCTTGCGTTCCACCTGTCGCGAGGCTCCGGTCCAGCCCAGAACTGGGTCCATATCCCTTTAAAAGAAATCAGTGATGCAAACAAACTGTTTTGTGCGCGCCGCTCGGGATCCAGAGCCGCGCCAAACACAAAACTTTGGGTAACTTTGCTCACAGAAGTTTGTCCCTCCTCATAACCGGGGCGCCAGCGGCCACCGTGAGGGCGGTTCGGGAGGAACCGAACCCGAGCTGCGCGCGATTACACCGGGAGGAGGAGGGAGAACCTGATGAGCAACACGATCGGTAAAGTTACATCTTTTTTTATTTTTATTATTAGGAACAATCTGGTGTCTTTTTTTTTTTTTTGAGTGGACAAACAGAGATCCATGTTTATTTCCTTTTTTTTTTTTAAAAATCAGATTTTCTCATTATACTAATTATTTTATTGCAAATCATTTTATATAGCGACAATGTCCAAATCTGTGACACATTTTAACACTTTTTATTGAAGCTTGTTGGGATGTTTTTAGGTTAAAAGTTGTCTGAAAGCCAATTTTTGAATTTCTCTTATGATTTTTATATATGCTTTGCAACATACCAGTCACAGTGCTTTATTTGTCTTTTAAGCTGATTTGGACTATTGTTCAAAACTTACAGAAGCTCAACATCTTTAAATGGCTAAAAATGATTATTTTCTTGCTCATGTGGCCAACAACCTGCTCCCATCACAAGTCCAAGGAGTGAAAGTTGAGAGTGAAAGATGTAATTAGACAGGCCACTCTCACGCTGCGATTGTTTCTCACTTGTGAGAGGAAGCGCAGATTAAATGTTGAGCGCTAAATAAGCAGCAGACAATAGATCCACAGACAGGCCCTGCACCGCCTGGGCTTGGCCTCTAACCTCCCAGCAAAAACAGGGACGTCTGGAGGAAATGACACCATTTCAGAGGCTGAATTATAATAAGAGCCTTTGTGCGCTGCGAAAACTGTTGCAAAAAAAAATCTCGAAAAGTCTCTTAATAATTTCCCTTTAGTTTTGCATACACTTGATTGAAAGAGCTGCAGCTTTTACGCCAGAAAATTAAATCATTTCAAGAGAACAGGTTTTAAAAAATCTAAAAAAGAAAAAAAAAAGAAATATAGGACAAAACCTTCTCCATGCGTATTTTTTGCAGTGTGCAGACGCGCCACTATTGTCTGTTTTGGTTTGCGCCCATTAAAGGAAAAGTAACCATCTTGTGTTTGGGTGCAAGATGTTCCTCCAGTTCATCGTCTCCATTAAGAATTTGTTTTACCATCATTGCATCTTTTGCTGAAATGAAACGTGAGCGACGCCGTCTGCCTTGTTTATGGAGAAAAAGCAATTTCCAGGGAACTGTTGTGCGTAATGGCGCTTTAAAGGGTTTGCAAATTGAAATGTTTTCTGTGCATGCATCATAAGAGGCTCATTGTGCTCGTTTCTTTTTCATTATATTTTACCTTCTGCATCTTTTTCCAGTTTAATTTCTATTACAGTGTTTGCATATAGAGGCACTTTCTTTCTTTCTTCACTGCCCAGTCGAGGTAAAAAGTTGCAAATGCACCAACAATCATGACAACTCTAATGCGTGCTGTTGTGGTGCAGCTTTTGATTTAATGTGCAGCCCTTTCAATTTTTGTTTGGTTTGTTTTTGGACAAAACGCAGCCCAGTGCGCAGACAGCCGCGTGCAGCTGTTGCAGCAAAGCCAAAGTCTGAGGCCTCGTCTGCAGTTGGGCCTAAACGCACGCGCCCTATCCAGACGTTAAGTGTTGCCATTTAGCTTTGCTATTTGGCTGCGTGCTCTACAGAGCAAAGCCACGTCGTGGAAGGCAAGTTTCCCAAAATAGGTGAGAGATTAATGATCTGTGCAAATATATATGACAGCAAAGGGCAAATAAAAGCAATAATTTGTTCTTTTGGGCACAATCATAACTGTGTCATGTCTATTGAGTTTAATTTTTTATATTTTTATTATACATATATTTATTTTCATCTTTTTTCCTGCATGTTTATTTAAAATAAACAACTGTTTTTCTGTTTTATTTGCAGGAAATTTACATTTTTTTCCTGTTTCTGAAGGCTCACTTTGATTACATTTCTCTTTCCATGCAGCTTTACACTACAGTCACCACACTTATAGCTTCACACACCCCTCCCACACACACACTAATACAAATCAATGGCATGTGTTGTGCGCATGTGCCCTGTCCTTGAGTTCCTATAACCTACCTCCCTCCCTCCCTTCCCTTCCCCAGCTTGTATTTCTTGTCTTATACGTCACCATGCGCCAGGGTACTATGGAGTACTACAAAAGGTGACGCGCAGGAGGAGGATTTGTGAATGGACGGCCGTGATGTGTGCCAGCTCACAGATCAGAGGGCGGTGGGGACCTCTGCAGATGCCCCCCCCCCCACCACAAATGAATGGTGGCGAGGGGAGACATCAGCTCTGTCACCATCGCAGGGGTCGAACCCAAATCCTCCAGCTTCCTGTGCCTTTCAGAAAAACCTGAAAGCGCGTCTCTTCTTTTTGATGATCCTGCATGCCCCCCTCCCCCTTTCTCTTTTGCATGATGGCAGCCGAATTATATCAAATTATGAGCAGACCTGGAAATAAACCAGTCAGCCAGTTCAGAAACAAACAAGAAACCCGTTGGTGGGAGAGTTGAACTCATCATCTCGAATAATGGCGGACAGACCAGAACCTGAAAAACAAATGTCAATTCATGTTTGACCAGCTAAAACACACCCCTCTTCTTTATTTACTTACACTGTAGGTCGTGAGATTATATATATATATAT